TTTTTCTTTCAAATGCTCTAGAATCACACATGGGACACAGAATCAGAGTCCACACCTGCAAGGAATGCAGCACTGACTAGTTCTGGGCCCCAAATTCCAATGACAGCTCATTATCTGGTAATGATTTTTTGATCAAGTTAACTACCCCTCACCCCCAGCACCACTGCAGGGGACACCCTCACCTCCATTCCAGCTAGCCCTGGGCCTCAGGTGGGCTCAATCAGAGCATCAGATACCTGGGTTCCCTGACTGACTGAATGAGGGCCTCACAGGACCCAGGCAGAGCACCAGGTGCAATCTCATGTGGATGGGACTACTGAGAAAGGGAGATGCACTGCATTTGCTCCCCTCTGCTCTCCCTGAACTTGGGAGAAGGTGGGTCTGGGACTGCAGTCAGCCTTTTGCCTTCACATGCGATCTGGGATCTGGGCAAAAAGCAACAGGGAGGAGAGGAAAGCTGAAAGCTGGTGAGACATTGGATCCTTCCCATACTGCTTTGGGCCCAGAATCCAGTTGTGCATCTGAATTTTCAATGATGATAGCCAATAAGCCCCCTTATTTCTTAGATTTAGGTTTCCTTTCACGTCCAATCAAAATAGTCCTAATTGATAACCAATCAAAATGGAGGTTTGTATTTACAGTTCAATTTTGGAGGATTATCCCATTCTACACAGGACCCTGAGGCTCAGGAAGGTGGCTGCTCCTACCTGCCAAGTTCCTCTGCTAGTTAGCAGCCTAGCCAGGGGTAGAGTCTCCAGCTTTCTCGTGCTGTTTTCACTATACTGTGGGGGAAATCAACATGTAGGCTTTATTTAAAACTTTTTTTTTTGTCAATCCTCATTGGAGGATATTATTTCCATTAATTTTTTGAGGTGAGTGGAAGGGACGGAGGGAGGGGGAGAAACATTAACCTTGATTGGTTGCCTCCCACAGGGGCCCAAAATGAGAGGGGAGTGACCTGCAACCCAGGTATGTGCTCTTGATCAATAATGTCCTCCACACCACAGAGCCACACTGATCTAGGCTGATTAAAACTTTTGCTCCAGCCCTAACCGGTTTGGCTTAGTATATAGAGAATTGGCCTGCAGATTGAAAGGTACCAGGTTCGATTCAAGTCAAGGGCATGTACCTTGGTTGCAGGCCCATCCCCAGAAAAGAGTGTGCAGGAGGCAGCTCATTGATGTTTCTAACTCAATGTTTCTTTCTCATTGATGTTTCTAACTCTGTATCCTCCTCCCTTCCTCTCTGTGAAAAACCAATAAAATATATTTTAAAAATAAAATACTTAAAAAAACTTTGCTCCAACTAAAAGTTTCCTTGTTGTATTTTATACTTTGAAAAGTATTTATAAATTAACATTTTAAGTGATCCTTTTCATTGTTGACTTAAAAAACATTCATAAACAAAATTTCTCAGAAATGTGCTGTGGTCTGCTGTAGTAACAATAGAAATAACCAAACAAAATAGCTTAAAATGTTTTATTAAGTATATGTAATATTACAGGGTAATATTTACAAAGTTATGTTTTTTTAAATAAAAAAAGTACCTTGGCAAAGATTGCAGATATTCAAAGCTTCAACAGTGATAACTGATTTAATACATATATATATATATATATATAAAAAAACAAACAAAAAAAAAACCTTTAACGGTAACACAGCTGTAAAACAACTTTGGTCTTTAAATCACTTCAGAAAATGGCTACTGACAAATAGCACACCTTTATTTGCTATGGAAAAAGCCCCTAAAAGAGGATCTTGCACATAGCAACACTGGAGTTTTCTTTATTTAGATTGGTTAATTGGACATTCATCTGGTGTGGGATGTAATTCTCAAAGATGGCTTCTGTAAATAATGCTTCATTTAATAAAAACAGAAATATCTTCCTTTCTCACCAACCCCAATAACAACACATTTAAGATTCCACTGATGTTGCCTTACAGAGAAGCTTATTACAAATGCTTTTTTTTTTCCTAAAAGATAAATTTATGGGAAAGCTGGTCTTAAATGATAAGAGCTGTCAAAAACCAAAGGCAGGGAACTGCCCATTCACTGCTCATCTCTTGAAAGGTACCTGGATTATCCCTTTTAGCCATGGATACTCACAAAGGACCCAGTGGGAGTTAGTGATTTTGAAAATACAACACATGTAAAACTTTCTGAACATACTCACCATCAAATAAACCATCATAAAAAGATAAACGGTTGCCCAACAATCATTTCTCTAGTTTCCAAGGATAGATAAAGGGGATGTATTTCCATACATAACATGGCAGATGTCTATTTTTAAATACTCACTTTGGGACAAGAGAAATTTAAGGTAGAATAGAACATAATTCTTATTGAGATGAAAAAGTAAACATCAGTTTTGAGCTTTATTAACTCAAACCACAATTTGTTCACTTATTGAAGTGACTACAGCATCCTGCAAAGAGCAATACTTCTGATTATGGGCTAGACTCATTATTTTATTCTGACATTCTCAGAAATTTTAAACAGAATGAACCTGGAGTTTCCAGGTAAAAAATCACCACCTCTGAAGGTTTTCAGAGTATGTCAAATTTGTCCTAAAATTTACTTGCTCACCCTATTAAAAAGAGTGGGACATCTATATACAAACAACTCTCAATCATCAAATATATACTGCATATCTTAATGTATGACACAGGGAAAAGAAGAGGGGGAGCTCTTGCTATGGAGGAATTTTCAAATCAAATGAGAGAAATGGGGAGGAAGGGCTGAAAGATAATGTTTTGAGGCAGAGGGAAAATTTCATTTGGCCAAAGGTTGAAACGGTTGTTGCAAAAATGACAAATGGCATCACTCTTAGAACATATAATAAAATTGAACAGAAGAATCAATGGAAAAAAATTGGTTCAGTGAGTAAAAAGCAGATTATGGGGGGAAACAGATATCTGATGCTCAAAACATTGCTATTTGAATTAGGTGCGACAGAAAGATGGGAGCCATGACAATCTGATTGAATGACAATGAACTGGCCCAATGATGCCCAAGCAAGAGGGATGCTGCTGCTGTGGTCCCTTTTCCAGAGAAGCTGACAACTACTCAGCACAAGACTTGCTTTCACCCGCCATTTATTCTGCTACCTCTCTGCCTTGTCTCATGCAGTGAATGCCTCCAAAGACAGGCAGCACTAAGAGAACACAAAGGATGGATAAGTCCCAGTTGAACCCCAAATAAAGGAGAGTTTACCGCATATTAAAAGGTACAATGTTAGTGTATAAAAAAGTTTACTATAAAGATTTTCATAGCTGAGTTCTTCTTAATAGAGAATAAGAATTTGGATCTTTTTCAAGTCCATCTGCTTTTTTCCTCCTTTCATTGAAATTGTTTTCTAAAGTAACAAACAATATTCATAAAATATAAATATTTTCAGAAAAAAAAGAGCAGCAGGAGCCATGCAAGTTGTAAAAAGGAATACAGCTCCCTCTACATAATATAATATTTTGGACAGCAAGACAAATAGGGAAAATTTTGTTTTCTTTTTTTCTTTTTTCTTTTTTTTTTTTTTTAAGAAGTGCTGTCTTCATAGTGTGTTCAGTTTTCTGAGAGGCATCACAGGTCATAAATTCTGGTGTGCCCTGGGCAAACCACTTGGTCCCAACATGAAATATGACAATCAATTTGACATTAAAGAGGCACATGGAACATTCAGTGGACTGAGAAATAACTATTCGTAATACGACTACAAATAGTAATGTCTTATTACTACACAAGCAGGAAGAATCACTAGTATTTTTAGAGGGCATTGGTAAGCAGTCAAAAGACTTGGCATCTGACCTAGAAGTTTTAAAAGTTTTCAGTGATCAAATATTCTCATCAAATATAATCCCACTCAATAAAGATCTTTGTTTTTAAATGTTTTTGCTAAAAGTATGAATTAGCATTTGCTCCCCTGTAGGTACCCCTGTTGTTTGTACAGAAGAAGCATGTGCCTGTCTTATACATGTGCACACACAAATACACACCCACAAAGGAGGAAAACGAGTGCTAATAACCTAAACATTCTCCAGGTGACCACACTGTCAGAACGTTAATTTTCTTCTAATGGCTAGAAAATAGGGGTTTTGTTTTACTTTTCAATTGTGGAGTCAGGGGGATATGAGTCAGGACACAGGAGGAAGATGATGAGTGTATATCATGCAACATAGGTACAGGAGCCATAGAACCACCCTTTCGAGGGCTGGTCTATTGGCCTGACAGTGACACACACTTGGTTGCCATGCAAGGGACACATAGTTAAAACCTCCATCTTGGTTTTTCATGCCCCAGATCAGAAGAGAAGTGAAGAAACACCACAGACTGTGCCTTCAAAGCCAAGGAAGGGAATACATATGCTACAGCCATTGCTACTTTCGCTGAAACGTGTGAACACGGTTCTCTGAGAACAAGTTTGACTTCTTTCTGCAATGACGCTGCCATGTCACTGAACCATGTCCAAAGAGGAGAAAAGGTGCTACATCTTGCACAGCAGAAGCAAACATCAGGGGGACAAGACAGGGTTGAAAGGTTGTGTGAATAAAAGAAAAAGACATCCATCAATAAAATCACCCTAAATCTATTGAAGAATGTGTGAATGGCAACCCCCAAGAATGAACACCACAATCTCCAAGAGTATCACATCGCACAAAAGCAACACACAAATGTTTCCAACTAAATTCCTGCCTGTACTTAATTTGCTATTCTCTTGATGTAGAAGTGGTAGACACATTATTGGGATAACACCGTAAATTCCAAAGTGGCTGTGAACCTGAGTTTGCTAAGGTTCGAAGGAAGCCACCATTTTTCAGTGACATCTCTGGGTAGCCACCAGGTTAGTCCCAGGTAATTCTCCCGTTGAACCAATTTACACTGGAAACCAAAAGTCAAGAGGTCCTAGGATCTGAAAGGTGTCATTCTTGGAAGTTGCCCACTCTACTTTTGCCCCTAATTGAAGAAAATTAACAATAAAAAACTGGATATCAATTGGGCACACAACACAGATTATAACTCTTTTATTAACTAAATCAAATGCTTTGAATAAAAACTTAACTATAATAATCATTTAAAACTCAATGATTTATTTTCTCTTGTAGATGAGAGTCACTTTTCTTGTTTTCTTCTCTTGAACAGTGAGTGAGTCAAGGTCAGGGTCCTTAAACATAAGTGCATTCCTTTCACATCTTAATACTCTGCAAGTGAGAGTCCATCACTTCAATTCAGTTATTCTGAAAAATTGAGAAATGAACATGTAATGTGTCTATTTTTTTATGCATTAACAAGTTGATTTATCTTAAAAATTTGAAGTTGCTTCAGATATATAATATCTAAAAATAAAGGATTTAATCTTAGGTTTGCAAAGGTCACAGATATAAGGCAGGCAGATCATTAGCCATTTTTGTGGCATTAAGGGAAAGGGCAATGCCAAATGAGAAAAAGGATCAACCAAGTCTGATCACTTTCATTTGCAGGATTAGCTGAGAACAAACCAAGGGATGCTGATTTTGTAAAGGAAAAGGTACTTCTCATAGAATATTATTCCATCACATTCAATTTACATTTGTATCATTCATTTAATGCAAGTGAGATAAAGATGTGATTACTAGGTATAAATCAAAGAGGAAACGGTCCCAAGGAGAGTACTTTGTACTTCAATCATGGATGAGGCAGACACACAGTGAGCATCATGCTGTTAGCTGTCACCTCAATGATCCCACCAGACAGACATTTAAAATTAACCGACAAATTCTGTACAGCTAAATATTAGCACAATTAAGGACATTTCAAAGGTCGTTATAGATTTTATGTACTATGAACAAACAAAAACTGATTTATATTCTGATATAGTGGTTCAAAAAAGAAGTTACATCTTAAGGAAAATTAACAAAGGAAAAGGTACTCAAGGCTTTATACTGGGTTTTTTGTTTTTGTTTTTTACCATGGGGGAAAGGGGTTTCATTTCTCTATTCAACTAAAGAAGAATGACTCCACAATAGAAAAGGGAAGAACAAAAAATTAAAAATATAGGACACAAGAATGAAAGCATGAGCAAACAATGACACAATTCCATGCACCAGTTCTTTGTTTAAAACCATTTCGTTTATTCCTACTAACTACGTTATTTTTGGAGGGCCGTAGTTAGTATAATGAAACGTGCATGTTTGTAATAAAGGCTGTGACACACAGCTACAAAAATGGGATAATTCTGTGCCTCCTTGTTGAACACAGCCTGAACATTGTTTTAAACTTAATCCACTAACATATATTGGGTGTGAGTTTACTCTTAGGCAAACATTGATTGTCCAGTGGAATGCAGCCTACTGAGTTAATGCTTCACTTTTACTAGAAAGGTGAGCATGTACTCACAGACTTTAAAACAGTAAAATGAAAAGTTGACTATTTGCTTGACCAAGACATGACAGTAAATACTAAACATATGAAGAAGTTTTTGACAAGGTAAAAGCACATTAAAGTGTAAATGGAAATAAATAAATACTTATAGCACTCAATATCTCTGACTTCTTTAACAAATGTATGTGTTTGAAATATTTAATAAAAATTTTAAATTGTTAGCCCAAAGTCCCCCCAGCAAAAAGAAAAAACTGGAGTGGCCAAAATTTCTCTCTCTCTCTCTTTTTATTTATTTAATAGAGGCCTGTGCATGAATTAATGCACGGGTGGGTCCCTTGGCCTGGCTGGTGATCGGGCCGATCTTGCCCAGTTCCAATAAGGACTCATTGGGCTGGCTGGCCAGGGGTAGGAACCACGGGAGGTTGGGGGTAGGGGAGAGAAGGAACTGTGGGAGGGTGGCTGTGGGGGCACACTGACCATCCAGCCAGCTGGGGGAAGGGACTGCAGGAGGTTGGCTGGCCCTGGGAGATTGGCTGTGGAAGCACACTGACTACCCGGTGGCAGCTCCTGCATTGAGTGTCTGCCCCCTGGTGGTCAGTGCATGTCATAAGAACCAGTCTTTTGGTTAACCAGTGGTAACCGTTGATTAGGCTTTTATATATACATATATATATAGACTAGAGGCCTCGTGCACAGAATTCGTGCACAGGAGAGGTATCCCTCAGTCCAGCCTACACGCTCGCCAATATGGGACCCTATAAGGGACTGCCTGTTTAGGTCTAGGATAAGTGCGGTCAGACATCCTTCTCACAATTCAGGGCTATTGGTTCCCAACCACTTGCCTGGCTCTGCCTGATTGCCCCTAACTGCTTGTACCTGCCAGCCTGATCACCCCTAACTACTACCCTGCCAGCCTGATTGATACCTAACTGCTCCCCAGCTGAACCAATTGACCCTAACTGCCCACCCTTACTAACCTGGTCACCCCTAACTGCCTTCCCCTGCCAGTTTGGTTACCCCTAACTGCACTCCCTAGCAGGCCTGGTCCTCCTCCAACTGGTCTCCCCTGCTGACCTGGTCTCCCCCAACTGCCCTCCCCTGCAGTCCTGGTCTCCCCTACTGACCTGGTCTCCCCCAACTGCCCTTCCCTGCCTGCCTGATCGCCCACAACTGCCCTCCCCTGCAGGCCTGGTCCCCCCAACTGCCCTACCCTGAGAGCCATCTTGTGGTGGCCATCTTGTGTCCACATGGGGAGCCATCTTTGACTACATGGGGGCAGCCATCTTGTGTCTCGGAGTGAAAGTCAATTTGCCTATTACTCTTTCATTAGATAGGATTTTTAAGGGAGGGCAGGGAAGAGTTGGTCTTCATTTGTTTTTAACACTTTTTTTGTTGATTTCCAGAGAGAGAGAAAGGGAGAGGGGCAGAGAGATAGAAGCATCTATGAGAGTGAAACATCATGGATTGAGTGCCGCCTGCTCTGTGGATCAAGCCCACAACTTGAGCACGCATAGAACCAGTGACTTCTTGGTTCCTAGGTGGGTACTCAACTGCCGAGTCACACCCACCATATTCTCTCTCTTCTTTTAAATCCTCTCCCTAAAGGTTAGAACCAAGTTCCTTTGTGGAAAAGCAGAGATATTAAGCTGCCATGGGTTAAATGCAACAAAATCACCAACACAAGCACAAAGGGAACTCTGTCAAGATTATAAAGATTTGTGCCAGATTATCTACGTGTCACATAAAAACCATTTTACAGTAACCGTCACTATACCAGAAAGGTGTTTTTTTAAAAAACAGTAGTTTCTCTTTGCTGTAGTAGTACGACTGGAGAGCTGATGGGTGACACCCTACAGCTTTTATATGATTAGTGGTGCAATTTTATCAGAGTAGATTTAACTTTTATAAATCTAGACATGCAAACCTTTATGTTTTGACAGAGTCCTTTTTATTTAAAATGCCATATTTCCAAGAAGCAATTTTATTTCTTTTCAATGTCCATATTTAATCAATCTATAATTGTATGTGCTTTTTATACTTACCATCATTCATCATTCCTTTTGATTCTTTAAATGCTAAGAATTAGTAACAAGCCAAGCAAGCGATTAGAAAGGTTCCACAATTAAAAATCATTTCTATTATAATAAGCAACTAGGTAGTAATATCATCCCAACTATTTCACAGCTATAAATACAAATTAATTTTAAGGCATTTGATTACAATGCCTTTCTGTGGATCATACCCACAGCTCCCCACAGAGGAAATAGTTGAGAAAATAAATCTAGATTTAAGGAGAAAGTGAAATGCTTTGGTCTCACTCCACGGTGAGAGACTATATCTTCCTACAATTTATAAACCAGAAATTATAACTAATTGAGTTTCTTCTATATTGGGGGCACTACAGCACTTCATCTTGGCTAATATGAAAAAACAGTAGTCCCCTTGCCCAATATCACTTGGCTAATGCATGCAACTACTTGGGAGACACAGAGCAGTGCATTTTTCTCAGAGGTGAGAACATTGCAAAATAATACTCTTGATTCTTGATTAATAATCAAAAAAGAGAGAAGAAAAAAGGAAGAAGAAGAAAAAAAGCTCTGGATTTTTCCCAAAGCATAGACAAAACTGCTTTGGGGACCAGTTCAAATTATGATCTGGTAATGGATCAAGAAAAATATACAAATTTGTAATAATCACATACCATTAAGGGGTTCCTCTACAGCTTTCTGAAAAATATGTAAAATACATTTATATAAAAATAGAATCAATTTCATGTCCTTCATAATGAAATTTATATATGCTAACATTTAAACTATGTAGTAAACAGTGAATCCTATGGTCTGAAAGCAATGCAATAAAGGTTAAAAAGCAAAGCTTGCGAAGTCTCACCAATTGTTTAATAATAACTGTCTTATTCTCAACATTATTTTTATATGCAGAATTTCCCACCCCACCTGGTATCTAGTGAAGAAAACCTAACTTCTTGAAAAATGTACTAAAGTCCAAAATAAAGAGCAACATAATAAATAGGACAGTTAAACAAGAGATAAGAGCAAAACAATCATTTGTAAGTCATGCAAAGAAAATGTATTAGGATTTAATGGTGTAATGGCTAGATAATCTCCAACAGAGGCACAAGAAAAACTTCTGTGTGTTTGTGCAGCTATGGCACCCTTCTCAGAATAAACACCCATGGTAGAGCACCCCTGCTCCCCCTTGCCTTTCAGGCATGTCTGTTGTGGCTTGTCAGAATTAGCAGCATTTGCAAGCCCCACTTCCTGCCACACAGGAGTCTCACCCGTGGCATTGCAGGTACAGCTATCATTAAATCCTTTATGGAAAGATGAGTACAATACAGCCCGTTCCAGGTCTTATTTGTATAGAGTAGCTTTTGTTCCTGTCACCACATCTCTCTTTATAAAGTTTTTCTTTTAACCCAACTCATTTATTTCTCTCAGTTTATCTCCTAAATTTACTCCTTTTCTTAAAATTTTCTTAGATAATTTAATAAGCTAAGATACAGTGAAAATGACAGTACAGTGTGGAGGAAGGAAAATGCTTATAAAATGAAGGAAATGAATCATAATTCAGAACAGATACTTTAAAGCAAAATTTGCATTTATTTTATATATTATTTTAAGTAAAATCATTTTAATGTAAGTTTATCCCCTATTTTAAGCCTGAAATAAGCACATCAAATTAATCCAACAGGTAAGGAGATATACTGGAGTCAGCTTTCCTTCAGCAGAGACAATGACTATTATTTTTACACATAAACTTTTCAGTACTGGATATGAGAAGTCTGATCATTTATATCCCATTGCTACTAAATGACCAAATATAAGTTTTAAAATAGAATTGGGTATATTTATGCAAACATTATGAAATGTCTTCATCATTCTTTTAAATTGATCTTTCATTAAACAGACAACAAAAGAGTTCAAGATCTCAGTTATCATTGCTCATTCGAAACAATCAAGTGATCAGACCCAATTCACTTAAGAAATTTTGACTTACCCTAGGAGGCTGAATAGCCCTCTGATTGGAAGCTGATAAAATTAAAACGTAAGAAAATGATTAATAAATTAATGAAAGAAATTAAGCCAATGTACTGTTTAGTTTTAAAATAAACTGTTCAGGGGTAAAATTAGAAGTGCCAAAAAGTTCATTGAGCTTCAGTTTTGATAGTCTATTTAAAAAATACAGAATCTTTGCCTAGCTGGGGTTGCTCAGTGGTTGAGCATCGGCTCATGAATCAGGAGTTCATGGTTCCATTTCTGTTAAGGACACACATCAGGGTTTCAAGCTCAATTCCAGGTAGGGGGCTTGCAGGAGGCATCCAACAGATGATTCTCTCTCATCATTGGCATTTCTCTCTCTCTCTCATTCTTCCCTCATCTCTAATATCAATAAAAATATATTTTAAAAATACAGAATGTTCTGAATTATATGAATTGACAAATTAAAATGTTGCAAATAATCTACCTGCATCAAATAATAAACATACCCATCTGCTCACTTGCATATACCATATCTCCCCCACTTTGTGATGGAAAAATGCTGTCATCTACTCACCCCACGTGGACTCAACATCCTCCCTAATAAGTGGGCAGAATTCGACAGTGACCAATCTCTGCCTTTACTCCATCACCCACCCTTAGCTCACTGCTCTTGTTCCTTGTAGCCTAGTCTTCTTTTTCCTTTTTTTCATCTTTCCAGTTTTCAAAGCTCCAAGTAGGTAACAAATGAAAGAAAATATTCAGATTCCTCTGAGTTTAAAGAGTTAATTTCAGCTACAGCCAAGTCTTTCTCTGTGTTCTCTGTGTTCCTAGCTTACCCTTCACTGCTTCAGAATGGATTGGTTAATGAAGATGAAGGAATATAGAGCATGAAGAATGTGACAAAGGGGAAAACAAAACAAAACAAACAAAAAAACTGCTCTAAGTACATAAAGAAGAGAGAGCTTCCCTACAAAATCCAAGTTGAGGAGTACCCAGAGCAGCTAAAACCAGTCTTAAATACAGAATCAGATTCCTGCAAAAAAAAACCTCATCCAGCAATATCCTGTGAATGAGTCTGTAGGAGGAGGATGTTACCAGTTAGAGTAGTCAACCCCACTGCTCTCTTAATTGGATGACAGCACTGGATTTGCTTATTAGTAGACTGAGGCAGGCCCCAGAACTTCTCTAAGGTTCTTTGCTATTTATTTACTATCTTCCAGACCCACTTTATGAAGCTCCCAAAACTGATGGGAAATGTGGGTGATGCCTGACTCAAGGGCAACCACTCTCTAGGTGGGCCAGAAGCTGATAGGGCTCTGGAACAGGGAAAATGACTGCTGACTGTCCTGGGAAGCTTCTTTCTTCCCCTGAAATCTGAAGGGAGAGTATCAGATAAAGAGTGGAAAGTTGGTGATGATAAAGGAAGGTGACAAGGGAAGTAAGCAAGGAGAAGCTCAAAGCTTATAGCTCTCAGTAAGAAAAGCTAACAGTGAGAAGACATAAATAGGATGAAGAATAAGAACCTAAAAAGGAGAGGATGAACTAGTTGGCTAGCAGGCAAAGAACCACAGAGAGAGGAACCAAGCAACCATAACTGGCAGTAGGGCTAACTGACTCTTGTTCCTGAGAGGGCAGCATGATGACTCAGTCCTAGGAGTCATACTGGATCCTTCCATTTCCTGAACAACCTACTGTTCCTCTCTCTGTGAGGCCCACTTATGTACCTGATCCCATGAGATTCCCATCACTGTTACTGTCATTTTAAATAAAGCTCTCTCACTGGAGGTACACAGAAAGTGGTTTGGTCCTTGCAACTAATCAAGAAGAAAACCTATTTTTATAGTACTCTGGAGAGAAATGGGTTTGGCAACATTAGTGAATTCACATTTAGCAACTTTCCAAATAGACCAGGCAGAATTACAGAACTTTATTAGGCCCATCATGACTGCCACATGTATATAACTCACTTTAACTAAGCCATGCCCTCTATCTATGTCCCATCCAAGAAAATTACTGATTGTTAAAGTGAAGGGTCCAAGGTCAGATTTTAGAGTTATATTTTTGAGCTCAGAACTTTATTCATCAGAATTGGTAATAAGAACTGCCAAGTCGCTCCTTTTCTATCCTAATCACATATAAAGAATAGTTTATGAGTTCCAGTTCTCAGGCACTAGGAACATCAGATTTGCCAAGACCATTCTGAAAAAAAGAAAGAAAGAAAGAAAGAAAAAGGGGGGGGGGGAGATCTATAAAGAGCAGTGATTCAAAGGGACACAGGTCAGCTGTGTACCCTTTAATATAATAAAGCCAAACAGCACAAAAGTTAATTTTCCTGAGTTAATCCTCTCCAATAAGCATCTGACCTATGTAACAGAAGAATGACTGTAATGTATCTGCAGCCACTATGGGCCTAAGGCATCAACAGCCACATTTACATCATTTTAAAATGCCTTAAGCATTTCATGTGATCGCACTTGAAATGTTTTGACTTATTCTTCTCTCCCTGAAACACTTGAAACATACCATAAATATAATTCTAGTTTGTAAATTTTCAGAAATACTTTTTCTATTAATACCAGAATTCACCTTACCTCCACAATGGACAAGACAATTTCACTAAAAATTTTATATAGATATCTTTCTATTCCATGTCATTCTAATATTTCTGAGATGTGGTCAATATGGTTTATGAATGGTACTAGATTGGTTTGTATCAAAACATGATTATAGTTCTAATACTGGTAATGGCTTTAAAAACTTAACAAGTATATACACACCCTGTATAAATAGCATGCTTAAGTTGATAGAGTTCCTTTTAATTTTTTTATATGCTCTCATATTATCATTGTTTCCAGTGCCTAACTTCATTTTGTAAAATTTAAATGCTTTCATGAAATAGAATCCAACACAGTTAAAGAAGAAGACCAGAAAAAAGGAAAGTAAAATCTTACTCCTTAAAGTAACAGGTAAGGGTACAAATTTAAACTTGGAAATAATGTAAATGATCAAGTTAAACTTCTCAGAGGAACATTAACTTAATCTCAAAAAGATAGCTTGGAATTTATTTTTATTTTTAATTTTTATTTTTTGTAACTATCAGAAGATTTTATTGCATGTAAGTTGAGACACATTCATTAATCTTTTTCAAAACAGAGCATCTGCAATGAGTAAAAGTTTTCTGGAAACATTTACAATTTTTACTTCTTGTTTCAAATGCTCAAATTTGCAACCTTAATGTTACACATACTCAGCTTCATAGACTCTACAAGAAACACACATCCATTTTCCTAGTCTACAGCAGCATCTACAGAGCAACATTCTTGTACCTTTGCTCTTCTTGCCCTTCAACTGGAGGCAGGGGTGCCTCTGAGCTCTGACATCAGGCAGGTTGATGTAAAAAGGTAATTTAGAATATTCTCACCATGTCAATAAAATGGGTTAAATTCTTAATTTACACATTGCATATTTAACTATGATAGATAAAAAATAACCTGGTGACTTTTCATAATCTCCCTTTGCTCTTCATGGGAGAACAATATGTTTATAATTTTATGGTTTCACATAAAAATTATGTGAGATGGAGGTGTTGGAATGGAGAAGGAGTGAGAGCAAGGTCAAGGGGGTGACAGCTAGACAATGCCTGTTTCCACCTGAGTCAGCATCTCCAGACCTATTGGCAACTGTACTGCACATCCTTCTTTGTTAGACATGAAAGGCATGGGGGTGTGGCAATAAAAGGGAGGGAAAACCAGATAATATAAGGGGGAAAAATAACGAAGATCTGACCATCAGTGAGTGACACTTAATACTACATAATGTTGTGTGGATACTGTAGCTCACATACTGTTCTCAGGCATTCACAGGGAGCAACATAATCAGCAGTTTCCATTTTCCAGAACCAAACAAATGGTGATTAGAAGGGAGATTCAACAAAAATAGAATATGTATCAACATTCATAATGTGATGCTTGTGATAGCTACCAAATGAATGCCATTCTACTTTATAAGCCTTAGTTGTATTTTAAGAAATTATGAGGCATGAACTTAGAAAATTTCAGTGACAAAACAACTCTGATTTCATGTACACATAAACTAAAGGTAGGTAAATTTTAGGTAAGTACTGTGTTTTAATTGTTTAATAAGCATTAATTAAAGGGAGACAAAGAATATATAAGAGAACTGAACTCTATGACCAGTCAGCAAAAGCTGAAGTTCAAAAATAAAGATAAAATTTCTTTGAATGTACTATACAAGTCATATGAAAATTATTTGACTATTTGAACTTGCTTAATTCAAAAATTATTTGAATAACTCAAGTTTTATATGAATTTTTATAAACACATAAATTATGCCTAAAGTAAAGCACAAAGACAGATTTTTTTACTTCTTTAGTTTGTAACTTTTGATATTTTGATAAATGTTTAAGAATTTGCTTTACTTCATAAATTTAGAGTTTAAAAAAACACTAAGAAAAATCAGATTGTAGAGAAAATCTTTAGGCACTTATTATGAGCACATATCTCATTATATATGTATTAAAAATAATTTATACAATCTGGATGGTGTGACTCAGTGGTTGAGTTTCAACCTATGAACTAAGAGGTCATGGTTTGATTCTAGGTCAGAGCACATGCCTGGATTGCTGGTTTAACCTCCAGTGAGGGCTATGCAGGAGTCAGCCAATCAATGATTCTCTCTCTACCTCTCCCTTTCTCTCTGAAATCAATAAAGATATATTTTAAAAAATAACATACAAAAATCTGTAAACTGAAAATTGGCAGATTAAATACAAAGTTTAGAAACAATAAGTTGATTCCACAGTTAATAACAATTGATTTTAAAAATAATAAAAGTCTAATTTTTAAAACACTATGTTTTTATTATAGTGTAATGCTTTCAACTAAAAATATTTCAAAGTCAATTGTCAGAGGACACTGCTCTTTAATTACCAAAAATAATATATTTTGAATTTTAATTCCTGTCCACTCCTGGGCATCAAGGCCCATAAGCAGTCCAGTCTGCAAGAAGAGCAAGACACAAGTAGGTCTCTGTGAAAAATCTTTATCACACAAACAATGGCCAATTAAAAACTCTTTTCTATTTATAAAAATCAAACCTCTACCAGTTCTCCTTTTCCATAGCATTAAAAGGTTTATGCATTCAAAATATACAGCCATTTTCTTTAAAACTAGTCTATAATCTAAACTTTTCAATATCTCATGTTTTCTATCTTTTTCATTAGTTTCCAATACATTTCTTTGATCATAAGCTGTAAGAACCAACCAAAAACATTTTCCAAATCATAGTATATTTGAAATTCTTGGCATAGACTAATAAAAATGAAAGTTGACTTACCAACAAATTTCATATAAACTAATCCAAGTAATTCTGCTAAAGCTATAATTCCCAAACCTGAAATCAGAAGAGGACCATGCATTGGTGTGCACTCTGCAAAAACAAATAAAATTTTACATTAGAGATTCACATGAAATAATGAACTTCTTAAAAGAAACAATAACAGTGATAAAATTAAGTTTTAGGGAGAGTAATTATTTTTCTCACTATCAAGAAACAAAAATTACCTAGATATGTATTATTAACTCAGTCAATGAAATGACTCCAAATTATTAAAATAAAAAAACCTTGTTGGCATAGCATGTACCTTATCACATCAAGACTAATTGGAAATAGTTTGTGAAGCCTAAGCCTCCACACAATGTTTATTTTAAAAGCTCGTCCATTAATACAGGAAGGGCAGTTTGGTCATTAAACAAACAGCCCATAAGCTATATACAGCCAATAAAAAAACACTAATCTCAGTGGGAACAAAATGATACTGTGTTTCCCCGAAAATAAGACATCCCCTGAAAATAAGACCTAGCGCATCTTTGGGAGCAAAAATTAATATAAGACACTGTCTTATTTTGGGGGAAACAGGGTAGTGAAAAATGAAAGAAGCTCACAACACTAAATGCTGACAAGAATGTAGAACAACAGAAATGTGCATTCATTGCTGGTGGAAACACAACATGGTAATTTACTACAAAACTAGATATATTCTTAACATGCAATCTAACAATTGCACTCCTTATTATTTTCCCAAATGAAGTTGAAAAGACATGTCCACACAAAAACATGCATTTCTATATTGTGGGTCTAGTTCTCTGATTTTATAACAAATCAATACCTTTCCCATTTACTGAAAGCAACCAAGATGTCCCTCAATAGGTGAATGGATCAACAAACTATTGTCTATTTAAACCATGGAATATTATTCAGTGATAAAAAGGAATGAGTTATCAAGTCAAACAAAGTCATGGAGGAAACTTAAATGCACACTACTAAGTGAAAGAAGCCAATTTGAAAAAGCTAGATATTATATGATTCCAAGCTGAAGACATTTTGGAAAATGCAAAACTATGGAGTCAGTAAAAAGATCGGTGGTTGCCAGGGGTTTCTGAATAAGGAGGATGAATGGGAAGAGCAAAGAGGATTTTTAGGGCAAATAAGCTTTTCTATATGATATTCTATGACTATGATCCATGTCATCATCTATAGATATAAAAGCCTAACCAACTCTTAGAACCAAACAACTGGAATGATGCGCACTGACCCAGACCTTTTTGCTGGGGCCCTGGCAGCCATGAATCTGGTTCACCCACATCCAGAACCTAGATAGGAAGGAGGAGGGAGCCCGATTTCTCACAGTATGGTTGGTTAGCCTGGGGCCAACCTCCTGCGGTCCCTCCCCCAAATCAGCGGCTCCCCCCACCCCCACCCCATCACCTCCTATCGCTGGCTAGGCCGAGGGAACCTACCCGTGCATGAGTTCATGCACCAGGCCTCTAGTGCATTTATAAAAATCATAGAATGTACAACACCAAGATAAACCCTAATATAAACTATACACTTTGGGTGATAATGCTGTGGCAATGCTGGTTCAACAGACCGTAACAAATGAACTACTTGGTGGGAGATGTGATAGCGGAGGAGGCAGTGAGTAGTAGATGAAGTAGAGGAAAACTCTATTTTTCACTCTATTTTCCATGAACCTAAAATGCTCTAACAAATACAGTCTATATATTTAAAACAGAATAAGAAGAACAAAGAAAAGGAAAGAGAAAAAGAGCTCTATGAGATACTACTGGTAAGAGAGGAATTGTTTAGAGAAGATTGTGACGCTTACCTGAGACACAGAGGCTTAGTCCGACCACAGAGAGCACAAAGCCCAGCACCTGAAGGATCAATATGGTGATGCTGAACGAGGACATCCCAATAGCTGGAGCTTCAAGGAAAAAGCATGTTGCAAGTGTTTAAAAAGCAATAACTTCCACTTGTATTTCGTAGTCAAGGCCAGTATTCTAGGACCAAGGAGCTCCCTGTCAAGTGGTGGCTGCTTTCCCAGTGACCTAAGCCATCTCTGTCCACTTCCGGAGTCAGCTCCACATTCACAGCCTCAGCAGCCTTTCATTTTTGCAGGGAGCTAGGCTGGATTGGCAGTTTTTACCCCAGATCTTAGGACAATGCTGCTTTTACCACTCGTGTGTATTTCACAATACGAGTGGCTATTAGTAGGGCTTTACCACATGCACACAATATCACTGTGGTGGAGAACCACTGTGTAAGCCATGTCATTGTAGTCATCATAACCCCTAATTGTGTTTTAGAACAAATTAATACCATGTTAATATATAGCAACCCAGAGATAGGCTCTCATACCAAGAGTTAAATGTGCAAATGGAAAAAATAGATTCTTTAATAATAACAAAAATATTTAATGATTTACTCCCAAAATGTAGTGGAAATTGTTACCGATTATAGGTTCGATAGCTCTATCATTTTTAAAAACTACAATGTTAAGATTTGCAATAACTATGATTTACAATCCTATTTTGTATAACTAGTTTTTTTAAAGAGAGTTTTAGCAAAATAAGAGAAGGAGAAGATTAATATCTACTTATAACTTCAAAAACTGAAATAAGAATATGAATATCATCATTAAGAAATTATATAGCATAATTTTTAAACTGCACTATTGGCATTAATATATCTCTGAAAATCACTTTTTTTTTTTAACAAAATAAATACCTTGATAACCTAATATAACATTAAAATTAATCCATATAGGGAAACATTTAACTAAAAATAGCTTTTATTGTATTATAAAAACCTAACTCTTATTGTATTATATAAAACCATACAAAAATATTTTAATCAAAATGCTGCTTTTTAAATGAAAAAGGGCACAAGGATACTAAAATAACAAATACTTACCTATCATAAATACAGAGTACTGAAGTAATATTAATATCACTGTAGGAACTACAATTAAACCAAGTCCACTGGCCCTCTTTGTTGAATATTCACCTGTTGATAAATAAAACTAACATTTAAAATATTTTTCTACTTAGTTCCTACTCTATCAAAAGTTAAAGTACCCAATTTATTAAATGTATTCATCTCAATACTACTCTTATAATTTGCAAAACATTTAAAAATAAACTGTTACCCCAAAACCTTACACAAAATAAGTGGTGACTTTTTTTTTTTTAAGACCAAACTGAAGACATCTAAATGTCAACATCTAATTCTCAACATATGGAAACCTTCCGCTGGCTTTGCCTCCCTTTTAACTACCTTGGAGCCTCTTACCAATCCTTTCCTTTGCTATATTCAATCTGTCCTAAAGTCAAAACAACCATTCTTTGCAGTTGTCTTCTTAATTCATCTTTTTCTTCCCCACACCCTCACTAACTCCAGCTGCAAAGAGAGCTGCCAAATTTCTGTTCCTAAACATTAGACCCATATTGTATTCTGTTAATAAAATTAAGGCTTTCTACTGTCTCCACTTTGAGTCCCAGCCTGTCTCAGCTGTTCTTTCCATGGGCTGCATATCCTCATTCCCCAATCCCATTCCCATCTTCCAAAGGCAAATGCAGTTTCAGATTGATTTGTTTCCCACGTTCATTCCCAGTTCCATGTCTTGGCCTGTGAAGTTTGCCTTTGCAGTGGGTTGAACGGTGGCCCTAAAGATCTGCCTACTTCCTAATTCCTGGAAGCTGTGAATTAGGGTGAGCATTACATTACACAGCAAAATATATGAAACAATTTAGGATCTTGAAAGAAGGAACTTATCCTAGATTAACAACGTGGGCCTAAATTCAATAAGTGTCTTTGGAAGAGAGAAGCAGAAGAGTTTTATCACAGTGGAAATGGGAGTTATGCTTCCAGAAGCCAAGGAATTGCAAAGATTGCTAGCCAACACCAGAAAATGAAAGTGGCAAGGAATGGATTCTTCCCAAGAGTCTTGGGAGAAAGTATAGTCATGATGTCATCTTTATTTCAGACATAAGGTTTTCAGAACTGAGAGAATTGCTATTGTTTTATAACACACAGTTTGTGGTTATTGGTTATAGCAGCCCCACCCCCAACTATGTTCTCAAACTTGTTAGCCCTGATTTCCTCATAATAACTGTACGTTTTACCTGGGACGAAGAGGATGGCTCCAACAATGACAAATGTCGTCAGCACTAGTCCAGCCACAAATAAAAGAATGGTTTTCTCCTTCGTAACACTGGCATTATATTTAAGCGCTTGAATGAAATAAAACACACACACACAAAATTTTTTTTTTAATTCCATGAACTCAGTCTCAAGAAGTGAAGCCATTTCTGTAACTTAAAAAGTGCAAAGACAAACTGATAACTTCCTAAAATCTAATAACATTTGAGGAATAACTCCATTATATCATGTCAAGCCACCTCAAATCTTTTTTATAAATCAGTCAATGACTAAACAGTTTCAAGGCAGCATATATATGGATGCTGAATTTATGGGTAATACTTTCATTCCCCTCTACTTTAAAGATGAAGTCATATACACCATGCTTTCTCAGTTTGGGGCATTATTAACATTTAGGGCCAGGTAAGTCTTTATGGCAGAAAGGGGTTGCTTTGTACATTTAGAAGGTTTAGTAACACCCCTACCTCCCTCCAAACTGCATACCAGTAACAGCCTCAGAGGTATCAATCAATTGTGAAATGTCCCCTGAAGAGTAAAACTACCTCAGGCTTACAACTGATATAAATAATGCTGATGGGAAGTAACTGGCTAATTGGTAATGCTGAGAAAAAGAGAACTTTGTTACATCTTATATAAAATTAGTAAAGCATCGGGAAATCTAGATTTTTTTTGAAAAGTAGAATAAAATTAGACAAATAATACCCTCTTGATATCAGGAGGGAAGGAAATGCTTAAATTGTTCAACTAAAGTCTATATATACTAGAGGTCTGTTGCACAAAATTCATGCACAGGTAGGTTCCTTAGGCCTGGATGGCAATCAGGGCCGATCTGCGAGGTGACAGGTCGGGTGATCGGAGGGCCCCCACTGGCACCTGCCTTGGCTGGCCTGGTGCCACCCACTTTCCAGCTCTGCCCCCCACTTCTGTGGGCTGGGGGCAGCTCCTGTGATGAGCATCGGCCCCCCTGGTGGTCAGTGCACATCATAGCGACTGGTCGTTTTGCCAATCGTTCTGCTGTTCAGTCTATTTGCATATTAGGCTATTATTATATAGGATAAAAGGCTAAGCAACAGTCCCACTGTCCAGTAGCTATGACGCATACTCACCACCAGGAGGCAGATGCTCAATGCAGGAGCTGCCGAGCTGTGGTCACTTAGCAGCAGCAGTTCTTGGGTGACACACCCAGAACCAGAGAGGAGGGAGCCCGACTCCTCACAATTCCTCTCGCACTCTGGGACCCCTTGGGGGATATCAGAGAGCCAGTTTTGGCTCGATCCCTACAGGCCAGACCGAGGGACCCCACCTGTCAGAGGGACCCTGCTCACTCTGCAGATGCCCTTCAAGCCTCAGTGCTGGCCCAGGTGTGGCTGGCGGGAAGGGAATGCAGGAGGTTGGCTCCAGGGCATGTCTGATCTATCTTGCCCTGTTCCACCCTGCCAGCCACCACCTGGGACTGCCTGCATTAGTCCTTGCACTGAAGGGACTAATCAATTTATTTTCAATGTGCAAGAATTCATGCACCAGGACACTAGTAATTACATAAAAATAAACTATAAATACTCAATAGGACTCATTAACTCTACTGTCAAGTACCTGGTAGGAAAGAATAATGTAATGGATAAGTCTAAAAGTATTATTTCTTTTACTATACTTTCACCTTAGGGGTTTTGAAATTAATTTTGTACCAAAAGAGTTGTTAAAAGTAACCTAAAAGCAGATTGAGTAGCAGAGAGAAACAGTGCATGACAGAAATTTTGTTGTTTCATCTAGGCCATTAATCAATGTCTTGAGGGGGAAATTTTAAAAAATGTTATATTTAGCATTAAATTTACTTCCACTAAAATGAAAAACAGATTAAATACAGTGAGAACAACAAGAACCCCTAAATGAACATGATAAAATCTATTTTTAAGGTATTATGACCTAGGGTTATACAATAAGCTATGGTTGACATATTTCAGGTATAATAGAAGACATAAAAATCACTACCTACTCATACCTTAGATCCTAAACCTCTACCTTATTCTCATTAGGTGGGGTGAGGGATGGAGAGGTAATCAATCATCAGTCTTGAAGCTGAGTAACTAAAATCCACACTAATCAGCAAAGAGTGAAAACCAATATGACAAGTTCCCCAAGTTTTCATTTGATCCATCCAGCTTCGAACGTACCCCTCAGTTACCTACGTCTTGACTCAGCATGGCTTTGCCTTCATATAGAGCACAGATTCTCAGATTCCCTATTTTCTAGCACTGATGAAAGCACTGGTAAATATAAAACTCAGTGAATATCTTATAAAAGGCACAGACACAGATAGAAAAATAAACTTCCTCTAGACATATGTCAAGTTTTCCATTTAATTCAATGCATATTGTTATGTAATGGAGCTTGAAAGTTCTACAAAAGGGTTATGAAACAGAAGCTGTTTCAAATATACTTCACAATTAATCAAACATTCAAAAGACACTCTTCCAGGCTTAACTGAATTCATAAAAGAACTACTAAGATCAAGCAGCAAGAATTCACCTTTAGAGTATAGTAGAAGTTCATGCAAAAAAGGCTGACTTAATCAGAGTTTGATTCCATATAAAATTCAACCTTTTCAAGCTTAGAAGAATTTTAGGAGAAAAATAATACCAACAATAGCAACAAAAATAAAACACCACAAAAATACTACAATTGACAGTATTTTACTATAGAACAACCTCTTCAAGACCTTTGCATATAAATATTGGAGGTAGCTTTAGTTTCTGTTGATTGATTCAACTATTTATTACCTCCAACCCTCCCTTAAATTAGGCAACTACTTTTTGTTGCTGTTGTTGTTGTTGTTTATCCTCACCCAAGGATATTTCCCCAATGATTTTTAGAGCATGTGGAAGGGAGGGAGACAGACACACAGAGAGAAACATGGAATGAGTAAGACACATGAATTGGCTGCTTCCCGCATGCAGCTCACCATGACCAGGGATAGAGCCTGCACCCAAGGTATGTGCCCTTGGCCAGAATAGAACCCAAAACCCTTCAGCCTGTGGGCTGATGCTCTCTACCCTTTGAACCAAACTGGTTATGGCTAAGCAACTATTTCTTTTTTAATTATTATTATTATTATTTGTTATTGATTTCAGAGAGGAAGGGAGAGGAAGGGAAAGACAGAAACATCACTGATAAGAGGGAATCATTGATTGACTGCCTCCTCCATGTTGGACCGAGCCGCAATCCAGGCATGTACCCTTGGCCAGAATCGAACCTGGGACCCTTCAGTCCACAGGCTGATGCTCTATCTATTCAGCCAAACTGGCTAGGGCCTAAGCAACTATTTCTAACAAATACGTAAGTGAAGTCTACTTAATTAATCACAGGCAATGAAAGAGGATCTCCATGTTTTGTTCAGGTAAACATTTAAAAAGAGTTTATTTGACACATTTTCTTTGCCACAGTGGTCCCATTTTAGCACAACCCAAAGAATGTGTTTTGTAGTCCAGTTGTCCATTTTTTTTCAGTGTCACCAAAGAGTTTGCAATCTGAAATAGATGCTATGGAACTCAGTAATCAAAAGTATCTTTTTTTGGTGATCTTTATTTGTCCTTTAACAGGTAGACTATCTTTATCAAATCTATAAAAATTTTAAATTCAAACAAACAAAATAAATTCAAGTAACTCCACAAACACTTAGCATTAAGATAAAGCTAACTGAATGTGTCCTTAGTGGGCTCTTATCAAACTTTCCGGTATGGTTTTCAGGCTTTTTGGCAAGACAATCTATGTGATTTTAAAAATATGTATACTTTAAAAGATTCCCCTCAACTAAAAATCACTGAATTCAATACACAAAATAAAATAAAAGAAGTAACAGTAATTATGCTTTCTAAATACTTTTCAAGCACTGTCTTCGACTTACAACAAAATTTAGAGGGAGGTATAGGGTACCCCCCTAAATACCTGTCCCACACATGCACACCCCCCCAATCAATATCACCCACCAAAATGATAAAATTTTTATCAACATGAACCTACATTGACACATCATAATTACCCAAAGTCCATAGGTGGCCTAAGGGGCTGTACATTCTATGTGCTCGCACAAATGCAAATTGACATCATTTTAGTACAGAGTATTTTCACTGTGGTAAATGTCCTCTGGCTCTGCCTATGTACTCTGCTTGCACCTACTTCTAGGAATGCTCTGCCTATGTACTCTTCCTGCACCTACTTCTAGGAATGACTGATTTTTTTCAATGTTTCCACGGTTTTGATGTTTCCAGAATGTCTTTTAGAGGGAACAAATAGTATGTAGCCTTTTCAGATTGGAAATATGCATGTAATAGCTCATTTCTTTTTATGTGGACATATCACAGTACATGTTGCCACTCACCTACTGAAAATCATCTCGGTTGCGTCTAAGTTGTGGCAATCATGTAGAAGCTGCTATAACTATCCATGTTCAGGTTTCTATGAGGACATAAGTTTTCCACTCCTTTGGGATAAATACCAATGAGCACAATTGCTGGAACATCATATAAAAGTTAATTTTGTAAAAAAAAAAAAAAAAATTTGCCCAACTGTCTTCCAGCGTGGTTGTACCATTATGCATTCCCACCCGCAATGTAGGTTCTGTTGCTCCACGTGTTGTCAGTGTTTATATTTTTTAAACAAAACTTATAACCTTAGTGCTATCTGACACAGGGAAACCAAAACCATTGGGAGACAAAATTAAATTTTTGTGAAAAACTTAAAAATTTTAAAGTTTTCACTAAATCTAGCCAGCCACATCTCAGAATGAGCAAGGTTGTGTCCTTCATTTATTCTACAAATGTTTATTGTGTAGGTACAATGCACCATGCATTTTTATTAGTCCATTGCAACCAAATCAAGTAGATTACTTTATCCAAGAATTGACTGAGCACCTACTATGTGATGATCATTATTTCAAGTGCTGCCTCAAGACTCTTAGTTCTGATGTGTGAGTGTCTGTGTTTGGGGCAGGGGAGGAATGAATGACCAAAAGTGTTACTCCCAGATCTTGCACAGTTAAATAAAAGGTGTGGGACTGCTGTAGCCTAAGAAAGTC